AAGCGATCGACAAGCAGAAAGAGTTATACGAGTGTCAAATTTGCGACATCAAGATGAAACTGGAGCATGCATTGACTGTAACCTACTATGCACCAGGTGAGGAAAAATTGTCCGCTTATCATGAGTTTGCTTTAATAATACTGATTTGTCGACAATTATAGTCAATAACGTACTGTTTATGTGTTAATTATCATTGTAGTACATTTCTCATCTTATTGTCGGTACAATTTTGATCTCCATGATCTCCTATGATCTGTAATTGTCTGTGTCTATGCTCTCGTACATTTATTGATACGTTTTTCATTACTGTGTAGTAATGAAATAGAATAATAGATTACCCCAGTAGCACAGTAACGTTAAATGACATTTTAATGACGTCATTAAAACGTCATTTAACATCACTGTGCTACTAGGGTTACTTGTGCTATTTCAGTAACTTATATTGAAATGCGAATTTACTTGTGACTAATAACATACCGCTGTGTGATTTCCTATTTGCATGTAGTATTGTCAGAATGGGAAGCGTCGGAAAATGGTGAATTGTCCCCCAGCAAACGAAAAAAGATTGAAAAGAATTAAAGCGGGATTGCCAGGAATTTAATTAAGGACTTTCCGAATTCCATTCTGTCCAAAAAAGGGATTGAAATAGTTTCAATATCATGGAATTCCTTATTTTGGAAAGAATTTGTCTTTTTTGAATCCCATCCAATTCTGACACAAAAATATTATACCACTGAATGTCAGGTTAGGGATTGGAAAGTTTCGTGATGAATTCCATTCAATACCATTGATTCCGTTAACGAAATGAATACCACTGAATGCCAGGTTAGGGATTGGAAAGTTTCGTGATGAATTCCATTGAATACCATTGATTCCGTTAACGAAATGAATACCATTGAATGCCAAACTAGGAATTAAAAATTTCCGTATTGAATTCCATTGAATTCCGTCTATTCCGACAATAAAATGAATACCATTGAATACCAGGATAGGGATTAAGTGTCCGTGTTGAACTTTGTGGCGGTACGCGCCACCAATAGTACACGCCTGCGCGGTATCTGCATTACCGGCAGTTTGCGTCGATGCCGCTAGGCGTCGCATCGCCGGGGCATCTTCTCGAGTTCAAAGTTTCGTCTCGGCCGCTATGTAAAGGGACCCCCTACGGGGCCTGACAGATCTTACAAATCTCATTTTCGGGCTAATTGCCCGTCGGCAGTAGTGCATGTAATGCCCTTAGGCATACACAAAACCTCACCAACGAACAACGGCGCTTGGTCGCCCAACGGAGGCGCGAGACGTTTCCTAAACCATCTAATGCCATGCAATTCCATAACCTTTACGGATTCCATAGGATTGGATGGAATTGAAAATTTCTTTTTTGGATTCCATGGAATTGGACCATCTCATTTCGAATCTCATCTAATTTCATTTAATTCCGCCAAAAAAGGGATTCAAAGGTATTAAAAAATTTTAATATTTTTTAATCCTTTTGCGTTTGCTGGGCAGCCTGCGTGATGCATACAATCATCAATTAGAGGAGCAGATTGCGCTAATTAGACAGGACATTGTCAACGCTCTTCAAAGAACAATTTCAGGTAGATGTTGATTAAACCATTTCGGTTATGTGAAAGATCGTGGGACAATGAACAGAAAAGGATATTATTATGTATAAAATATGATTTATTATCATCTAATCTGCACAGAATCTTCCTCAGTCAATACATAATAATATAAAAAAAAATTAGGTTATAAATATTTTAACCCTTCGCCCGTAAACTATTGCTTCCTCATAGAGGAAACTTTGTTTTCGTTAAAAAAAAATTTTTTTTTGTTTTTCTGAATGTGTTCAGAATGTTCTAAAACGTCGAAAAATTGCAATTTAAAAAAATTTCTGTATGTATGTATGTGTGTATCTGTGTGTATGTGTGTGTGTATGTGCCAAATTTACCGAAATTTCTATAAGTCCAGAACTAATCAACCAAATCTTAACGAATTATATATGAAATAGGGGTAGAAAAAACTGAAGCAGAATATAATAGAATTAATAAAAATTGCTAATAATTAAGGGGTTCTTTTTTAATAAAATTTTAAATTTTTTCAGAAATGTTTGTTTATGCTTTAATTTCCGCAAATGTAGAGATATCGATCTATTTCTAATTTTATTATATTTTTCAGTCTTTTCTACCCCTATTTCATATATAATTCTTTAAGATTTGGTTGATTAGACTCAGCTTTATACGCGATCAAAAGTCCCTAATTTTTAGAAAAATGTCTGTAATAGCTTTAACTTCTGTAAATTTTAAGATATCGGTCTATTTTTAATTTTGTTATATTCTTCAGTTTTTTCTATTTCTATTTTATATAATCTTTAAGGCCGGTATTCATAGTCGGGTCTTATATTCAAGATCGTCTTAAGTATAGTCTTAAGACGTCATCAGCCAATCAGAGGGCTGTATTAGCATCTTATAATTTGACTGGCATCGTCCGTAATCTGGGTCGTAAATGTCCTGTCGTTATTTTGACCTAGTAAATAGTGTTCAAAAAATCTGAAAAAATTCTGTAATACTTGTATACTATCCTATTTTATAATCCCAAAGTTTATTTAGCGATTCGTTATAAAATAAATTGTTTATAAATAATCTTTATGCAAAAAATTAATAAAAATCCAATTTTATTAAAAAAATCATATCTCATTAAATTTTAAATTAAAATAAAAAATTCCAACGAGGTTTTATAGTTAAACATGTGTACTTTCAAGAAAAAAATTCTGTATATGGGTCATTTTCAAAAAGTATAATTATTCTGAGGATTGAAAATGGCGTTTTTCGGGTTAAAGAAATAGTTATTTGTGTAACAAGTGCGGGAAGTTGAGAATTGGACACGAGTGCGGAGTGGACGCACGAGCCGAAGGCGAGTGCGATCACCCGCACGAGTGTCCAATTCTCATCTCGCACGTGTTACACACCCTATTTTATATTACAAAGTGCGTGGAAAGTGGCCCATTATTGCGCGCGCGTCATCTGTGCGACGGATGTTACATTACCGCACTGTTTTGACTCGTGTATGGAATTGGCTATTTGTCACACAGATGGCGCGCGCGTAATGGGCCACTTTCCACGCACGTGTGATATAAAATAAGACTTTTAGCGTAATTCCTCGTGGTCTGACTCATTTCCAGAAGCTTCATCCTTAACTGCGTGACGCGTTTCTTGTAAATAATATCTGATATTTGTCGCTTGATCATCCATTGTACTCTGAAAGTACATGTAATTTCTTTTTACACTGTTTTCATCCACTCACATTTTGAGGTTATATATATAATATACACAATCATAAAAAAATATCACTTATATAAGTTAAAAATAACTGTAGTAATATGAAAATGACGTTAAATTAATTTTACTTGCACGAAAGTCTGGCACTGTCCGTAATCAGGGTCAATATTGGCATTGGACGCACTTTGACTCGCTGCTGGTCAAGCACACACTGGCGAATTCCAATGAAACTTTGGGCATGAGTTCTCCCCACTACCTACTTTTTTACGAGGAAAAGCAAGCCCCCCCCTTTTCATTTCGGCGGTATTCTATTTTGAATTTCGGCTTGTGCCATTTTACGACCCAGATTACGGGCGAAGGGTTAAAATAAATAAAAATAGATAACGGTGAAACTGAGCTAGTCTTCTCACCATATAAAAGAGAAATAAAATATAAAAAATTAAGTTTAAAACAAATTTAATGCTGTCAACTTTGTCGTAGTTTCTTATTAGACTTATTGTAACTCATGATGTTTTAGCATGACCTAATCTCTTTTTATATTATTATGTATTTATTGAGGAAGGCTCTGTGCAGTTTGAATCGTTCTACGAACTTTGATTAAATGATAATAAATCATATTTTATGTAATAAAATTTTTTTCTGCTTGTTTATTGTTCAACGATCCTTTCACTTTGCTTTGCAAATAGGGACCTGACCTTATAGTTTATCATTCCGGTTATGTTCTCGAGCAAGATAATTTATGAATGTTACTGTATATGTGTGTTCTCGTACAAACTTTGATTAATAAGCATATATTATATTTATGGCTTAATTAGGAGCCATGATGACATTTATTGTAAAATCTATTATAATTGCACTATTGTCAGTAGAGGCTGACAAAGAAACTAATTGACCGGCCGAATTATTAGAATTGCGAGATAAATTTACCTGCAACGCCAAACAAGAAATTGACATTCTTAATAATTGATTTACTTTTTATTTAAATATATATTTTTTTGTTTAAAATATAAATAATATATAATTATAATTATGAAGTAGATTTTAAAAAATATTCTCATATCAACAGAAAATTAAGAGATTAATTATTAAAGGAGTTTATTAAGAGACAATTGCTCTTTAAGGTAATTCATCCCGAGGTAGCAAGATGACGTCTAACATCTTAATGACGTTAGAATTAAAACGGAATTAATACGTCATTTAACGTCACTCTGCTACCTGGGCGGTACATTGAAAAAATTATTTTCTAGACAACAAAACATTAAAATTTTACAAACATATATATTTTATAAAATAATTAATTTATAGTAGAATTAGAATTTGTGAGAAATAAAACTAACATTGGGATGATACCGCGTGAACAGTAGTCAGCTAATTATAGCTGACCAAGAATAACATAACCAAGCTATTAAAATAAACTCACAAACAATTTCGTAAATGAGCATTTACATGAAGTAAATTGTTGTAAAGCGATTTTTTCATTTTAACAGTTGGCTACTGTTTGAGTAGTAGAATTGACGCCAATGTAAACGCACTTACCGGCCGAAGATTTACCAGCCGAATTCAAATAAAAATTAATTTGTTAAATTAATCAGAGTTTACGTCAACCCCGGCAAAATTGCTTTAAGAGAAATTTCTACTTTCGTAATCTAATCTTTTTTTTCCATGTTAAACAACAAAGAACGAGCACAATTCTATTCATTTTAAAATTATATCTAATACAAATTGCATTTCTTTAAGTTGCTCCAAGTTTATAAAAACAAATCGTGTATGAATGTGATCCTAAAATCTCCGTACATTACTGAGAAAGAAAATTCCAACGAAAATATTTCATCATCTAACTTCGGTATACTACGGGAACTCTAGGTCCTTCAGTCCGTCCCTGATGGGTGATTTTTCGCTCCTGCGAGAGATAGAGAGGGGGGATTTGTAAATACCCGTCAGCTGACCAGGCTATCTCAAGTATCTCAACATTCTCAACTCAACTATTTCAAGAAAGGCGATATTGGAGCACAATGTTTCATCCGAAGCCGCGACAGTGAAATCGCCTCGTGGAGGCGGGCTCGGACGCGGTAGTCCGGACTTGATGTACACGTCGAGATACATCAGCGCGCTGTTTCGAGCGATATATCACGTACGAGGAGCGAACGTGGTGGGGGAAACTGGTAGATGCCCATCAGCTGACGAGGATGCCTCGGAGATGCTTCGCGGTTAGCAGCGAGCGACGACGACGACGACGACGAGGGGGTGGTGGAGGTGGGGGAGAAGCGTAGGTGTCCCCGCGGGTTGTTCGAGCCCTGCGGCCTGGGGGTGAACGGACGATCGAGGGCACAAGGATGTTCTGCGCGGAGGGCTCGTCGTCGAAGGGCAGTTTCCTGCAGCAGAAGAAGGCCGCGCGCGAGGATCGGGCCCATGAGAAGCGTAGGGAGGCCGCGGCTACTCTGATCCAGGCCCACGTTCGTTCCTGGCTGGCCCGCGTCCAGTTCACCAAGTGGATACTGTAAGTGCGAGAGACAAAGCCTACGACTTCTACGCGAAGCGGAGACGAGACGGTGGAGCTGCTCGCGAACGCGATTTTTATGTGAGAATGCATGTGTCACCATGTGAACGGAAATTACCGTGTTGCCGATAACTTGAACATGATCAATATTGTAGCTTTGTAAAAATTGTGCAGTTATCTCCACGGTATAAATAAATACTGTTGATAGTCAGTCGGATTCACGGAATTCCAGGCAAATATGATGAAGATAAGCCGAATTATTGTAAAATGGCAGGAAAAGAAATTCATATATTAGTTGCATTTTCTATTTTATTTAATGTGGTAGTTGTTAGTTTAAGATACATTTTTATTTGTCTTTGTCCAGTGTTTTAACTAGAAAATTTGAGTTAAATTTGTATCTGCTGCAAGAATTGAATTATAAGTAAAAGCAGATCGATACAGAATGCAATGTATAATTTTACACAAAAATCCCAGTTATCTGATAAGACTATTTTTACTTCTAGAGAAGAATTTGATAACAATTTCCTTGATGACGCCAGTGTCGACAATGCAACGGTGGAACTAAAACCTGCTCTGGATGTGTATAGAATAATTTCTAGATTTTTGCTAATTTATAAGAAGGAAAGAGATCAAGAGAGGATAGAGAGAGTGTGTAGGTGAGTACGTGCAACGTTAAAATAGTTTCTATTTTCTCGAAAAGGATCCAGAGTTCCAACCAAGATGATCTTTCAGATACCTTGTGCTGACTCTTGATTCCGAGTCTCCAAAAATATCTTACGTCGGAGTAGCGTTCAACAAGGATCATTACATATCATGGATATCACAAATGAAGACAGTTTTGTACCACTGTCTCTCCGGCTTGGACAGCCTAAAGCCGGAGAGGGTATCGGACCACAAATCCATATTGCTGCGACTGCATACTTTGGTGAGTTTTACATCGCCGGGAACGTGGGCTATACAGAAGGTGAAGGGCATGGACCAGTTGAAGACCGGCATGAGCCAGCTATGCGCAAACATAATGGGCCACCTAGTTAATAATGGATTCTATGGTACTATGCAGGTAATAACAGCAATAAGAGACTCCCTAATAATCCTGATTCTCTCTCTAACAATTCTAAGTTATGTTCTCCATTTCAGGCTCTCTTAATGAAGGGACTTGGTAGAGCGAAAATTGCTTTGAAGCCGGTTACACTTTCAGCAGCGGTTACTCTGACACTGAGACCACTGATCTCTTCGCAAATGTCCGACAAGCTGGTCTCCCTGTTCCTGATTAACATCTTTAGCGTGCCAGCTCTGGTCTATCATCTGAATGTCTTGTCACCGGAGGTAGGAAAGAAAGAAAATATTTACAAGCTTCATTATACGTTGTGGTATTCCTTCTCTAATCTAAGTATGTGAAGTTTTTGATGTGTATTTACAGTGCATTTCGTCGTTCATAACGAATAATCTGTTTGCGAGAAGTTTGGAGTTGCTAAATTCTGAGCAAAATTTAAGGATCGTCTTTAATGCCCTCGAGGGCAGTTACGCGCTTTGTTTGCTCGCTAATTTAATACAACTGGCGAATATCGAAAGAGAAGAAGTGCTGAGAGAGATTTGCTTTCCTTCTTTTACGGTAAGCTGTTACGGTAATCTTCCCTGTTACATGCGTATCTCGATAACATTTTATGAATCCTTTGCAGTTTGTTGTGACGAGAATGCTGGAAGCATGTCAACAATACGTAGTCGCCAAACGAAGTAATTTGACGCATTGGCATCCAGTATTAGGCTGGTTTGCACAGACGATCGACACCTCGTTACAGGACGCGACTCCTTCGGTAAAATTGCAGCTTGCCTGCCTTTGGACGGGCAGGATCGTTACGCATTTAATCGGTGAGAGTCATCAATTTTACATATACTGATATTTCTTATAAAAAACTACAATTTGCATACAAAAGTGTGATCTGAATCAATTAGCTCCCTGTTTACTTTTTATTTTTTTTTCTTCAGAGCAGCCACTAACCGAATTCGTTGAAAAAGAGGTACCACCTCCGGTAGAGCAGCAAAGCACCTCTTCCATAGGCGCCAATATTTTCCGACGAGCGTTTCTTGAGGCTCGCACTAATAGGAACAACAGCACCAAGAATTACAGGAAGTTAGGCAGTCCGGAGGCTACCAAGATATCTCTGATCTGTTCTCTATATCAAACGGCACTGCACACGCTCACGCAAATGAAGATCGAGATATTGACGGGTACGTATAATAAGTTAGTGTGCAATCATGCAAGATCATATATGCAAGTGATATATTGACTAATGACATGTATGCACAAAAACAGGATTGTGCTATCAGGGTAAAATTCTTTATCACATGTGGCTATTTCTGACCACCCTGGGACCGCACTGTGGTCTGAAAGCATTTCTAGATCTCTTGGCGGCGAACACTAAGTGCACGGCACCTGAATTCCAGATGTTGATACTGTTCGCCGATTGTATGACACACTACGTTACGTAAGTGACATAATTTTCTTTCTAGATAATTTAATTAAATTTAATTGGTTTTATTGGACTAATCTCTTAAATTCTCAATTTCAGCATCTTGGACGACATGGAAATGTACGAGCACCAAGATCCCTTCAAGCTCACGGACTTTATCACTATGTCGTACTTTTTAAATCAATTCTTGTACAAAGCGGTTCTCACTAATTTATTCGGTAAGTCGATTTTCTGTCTTTTGTTAGATTATTGATTAAAAATTGCAAGAGAAAAAATAAAAAGAATTCAAGGATTAATGCACGGAAATACGATATATATGTGCGACTTTAAAATTTTGATATTGGATATTACAGATGTGAAGTCGGTATCCAGCAATCCTCTGTTTATCTCACTTTACATTCTTCTAATGGCAATCTATCGACGCGACTGCCGCAGAACGTTCTGCCCAGAAGGTCATTGGTTAGCCAAGTTAAGTATATCTTGGTTTCAACATTTTATGAATACCTCAGACTATTTTCCGAAAATTTTATGTCATAGTTTGTTCTAAAAAAGAATTATCTTTTATATCTATTTTTTATATTAGTCAATAAAAATTATTAATGTAATATTTATTATATTAATCTGTGCACTTTCACTTACATTCATATCTATAGTATGCAATTAAAGTAGAGACATTTGTCCTTACTATGTTTATTTTAATATTCGATATCTTGTAATTCACAGTTTTTTTTCCTTTAAACAGGAAGTACGAGTATCTGGCTTCTTGGCCGATTTGGAAAAAGGACGACGCGGCGCAGCGCTTTTACTCTCAAAAATGCCTCACGTCATCCCCCATTCGGAGCGAGTCGTATTATTTCGCAAGCACATAGCCGACGAGAAAGCAGTGATGGGTTTGACCGAGAGCGCTTGTAACAGTCCACCAACCACTCTCATCGTCGTACACAGGTCTATTGATATGTTTTCTTATTTATTTTACAGTTTTTAATTATTCAAAACTGAACTTCCAAAAATGTTTTTTTAATTTGGTGAAATTTGATACTACTTTTTTAAAACTAAACGTTTGCCAAAAAGAAAAAAATCTTTTCCTCAATTTGGTAATATAATTTATTTTGCAGAGAGAGAATACTTTTTTCTTTTTAAAACCTTTTTTTCAATACAGTACAATTTAACATTATTTCACGATTCTTTGTACTGCATTATTTTCTTCATATTCTTTCTTATATTTCATTTTTTATATTCTTTTATATTTTATAGAACGCGGATAGTTGAGGATGGATACAGACAGTTGGCCATGTTGCCGTCACAAGCATTGAAAGGTATGATCAGGGTACGTTTCGTGAACGAGCAAGGTCTAGCTGAAGCCGGCATCGATCAGGACGGGGTTTTTAAGGAGTTCTTGGAAGAGACAATAAAACGAGTATTCGACCCATCTCTGAACTTGTTCAAAGCTACCAGCGAAAACCGGCTCTATCCATCCCCCACGTCTTTTATGCAGGACAATCACTTGCAACTGTTCGAGTTCGTCGGACGGATGCTCGGCAAAGCAGTTTACGAGGTAAACCCTTATCCGCGATCAAGTAAATTAATTGTAAATGACGACTTTAAAATTATAATTATAATAGTTAATATCTCTCGTGTCATTATATGCGGTTTAATGATTATTTTAATTATTCATTATTTATGAATATTATTTAGAGATAAAATCGGTTTTTTCTTATAATGATCGATTTCTTATCGCTTTCCAGGGCATCGTTGTGGACGTGCCTTTTGCGTCGTTTTTTGTCTCGCAATTTTCCGGGCAAACAGGCGGTGCATTATACAGCTGGCTGGATGAGCTTGCCTCCCTAGATCGCGATCTCTATCGTAGCTTGACTTTGGTGAAGCATTATAAGGGCGATATTCGTCAGCTAGAGTTGACATTCTCCCTCGACGAGGACGTGCTCGGCAAGTTGGTCACGCACGAGCTGATCACTGGCGGGCGCACTACCGCCGTGACCAATCAGAACAAAATTCAATATATCCACCACATGGCGCACTATAGAATGTATCATCAGATCAAGGAGCAAACGACCGCCTTTATCAAGGGATTCCGTTCGATCATTAATCCCGAGTGGCTATCGTTGTTTTCGACGCCCGAGGTGAGCATTATTTACATTTATTTGTAGTGCATCCTATATGACTGACAATCAGAATTAAGTGGCATAGAATCATTAATTTGAATATGATAAATCCAATATAATTGCATATAATTAAATATGTGATAAATGTGTGTAAATACTTAAGAATTAAATTGCTAAATTATTTCAATGACTTTTTGAATTAAAATCTAAGCTCTACATTCCGAAATTAATTTAAGATGAAATGAGAACCTTAAATGAGGCAAATATTATGGTGCTATGATTAATATAGTATTATGTATTATTAATATAATTATATGTGTTACTGTTTATATACTTGTATATATTCAATTAAGTAATCATGGCACGCGTGACTTTGCAGTTGCAAAGATTGATCTCGGGCGATAACGTACCTTTGGATCTGCGAGATTTACGCAGGCATACGCAATACTACGGCGGATTTCACGACAGTCATCGAGTGGTATGTTGGCTATGGGACATTCTAGAGAAGGATTTTACAGAAGAGGAAAAAGGCTTATTTCTAAAGGTACCAATCTTGGTATTAACAGTTTCTCAAATAAATTACTTTCTAATGATTTTCTCAAGATGTCTCTAATATCTATCTTACACTAATAATCCTCTTAGACAATAATAACGATGTTTAACAGTTCGTGACAAGTTGCTCGAAGTCACCTTTGCTGGGTTTTGCTCATCTGGAACCACCTTTCTCCATACGATGCGTGGAAGTTTGCGACGACGAGGATACTGGTGACACTATTGGTACGATCGTTATAGAATAATTTTGAAAAGAAAACGAATCAATCTTTTCATAACCAACAATAAAATTGAGAAACTGGAAAAATCTTCAACACCTTTCAAATTTTTTGTTTTATACTTTTTTATGATTGATAATAATCGATGGTGCATAAAAATTTATATGTATCTTTATTAGTTTAAAATGTTTAAATCTCAGGTAAAACAAATCATCATAAGTTCTCTTTGATATTCTCTTTACAATAATATATAATATCGGATCTATAGTATCTTTTATTTCTTTAATTACATATCACAATTTCTTTAATTATTACAAACATAATGGATTATTTGAGATCGTAATTTTAGGGAAAAGTTTTTGTCAGTGTTAGCTTCTAAATTGTCTACGAATGTTTCTTTGTGAATTTAACTTGTTTGGAATTTGTTTGCAATTTAGGCAGCGTGATTAGGGGTTTCTTTACGATTCGCAAAAAGGACCCGCAGAACCGACTGCCCACTTCGTCAACGTGTTTCAACTTGCTCAAGCTGCCGAATTATCAGAAGAAAAGCACGTTGCGGGAGAAACTGCGCTATGCCGTCACCAGCAATACTGGATTTGAACTTTCCTAAGTGCTGCCAGTCGCGCATTTCTAATCCAAGAGAAGCGACGAGTGAAGGATTATGCGAGTTTGTCGAAACATTGCGTGTGACAGTTTTCAACAATCGGAACGAAATGAGATTCGATCGACAATCGGAACATGCCGAGAGATTTCGTAGGGATGAAAAGTCAACTGACACGATCGATACCTCAGATTCGACGGTATCTAAAGCGATGTCGAGTGATGCCTAAACCGCCCTTATCCCCATCCAATGCATAATCTACAACCTGATTAAAAGCGTCACTATTTAAATGTTGTTTTTGAGATGGCGCAAACGTTTTAGAGAGGTCATTCAGAAGCATCGTGATTTTCTTTGGAGAACATTGCAACATCATTGTTCGGGGATCGATGGTATCGTAAAACAACATGAGAATGTACAACATAAGGGTACACAATAACAAGCCTGCGGATAGATAACTGTTAGATACATACATATATATATATTTAAATAAATTTCACCGTATGACGAGAGCTGAGTATTTTAGGATGAAGTCTGTTTATGACGTTTGTTTCTGCTGTCTTCAATATACTCATACAGGCACACACTACCGATTTGAAATACACCATACCTCATGAGCTTAATACCGCTGAGATAATTGTGCGCTTGTTAGTGGATAGAATCGTTGATCAACATTACATTAAGATCGGGAGTGGCGGATATTTAAATTTATTTTCATAGATAATATTGAAGATAACGTTCGTTATAGATTATCCCACTGAGTGGACATCCAACTATCCAAGAAATTGAATGAATAAGCAGGAAAAGGCCCTATCCACATTGTAACTCCGAAAAAAAATTGTAATATCTTCCAAAATTATAAATTATTAAATTATGAATCATTAGTCTCTGAATTATTACTTAAGAATAATTTGGTTGGTACTTTACGAGTTTATATTTTCATATAAAATCTGTTTTTATTACATTTATATTCCAATTTTAATTATAACAAATCTTCGAAATGTACCCAAAATAAAAAAAGTTAATGTAAACATAAGTTTCGGAATTATTGCATTTTAAACTGTCGTGGACACAATCTTTTACAAAAATTTCAGAAGATTGTGGTCTGTACTGTTTATTGATTCAATTAAATTTGCATTCGCACTTCGGAAAAGGTTTACCACTCCCGCATTAACAAGGGAATATTCTCGAAGCTGGGGGATGCCTTGTCGACGAACCAGCGCGCGTGTGAAATAAGTCTCTGTGAGCAATCAAAAAAATGACGCAAGTTTCTAAAAGTTTTCTCCGCGAAGAAGAAAATCAACCGGAGAGGCCACAATCTATTTTAAAAGCTATTTTCTCAAGACTTTTGTACGGACTATTGGCGCGACGTGTCGTCTAATCGATTTAATAAGATCTTAAAGGTACAATTCCCACGGGCGTTCGCGGATGAGAAGTCCCCGGGGTTCGTTCCGATCGAAGGAGATTATGACAAGTGTCTCGTCGTATTTCACGCGGAGGTTGAAAACATCCGTAATAAGAAGCTGATTGAATAATAAGAGACTAGAGAAAGAGAAAAACAAAGAGAAATGTATTTTCTTAATTTTGGAATAATACATATTTATCTTCTATTTATCTCTAGTAAAACTTTACCATCCGTGACAAGTAAATGAGCGAGAGAGAGTTTGGTAAAAAAGATGAGCTGCAAGCGGACAAAAGTTGACAAATAAAATTTATGATACTTTATAATTTATACGCATTAACAATTTAATTTAATTTTTTTTTTCACTTTTATAGATATGTTTATTATCGCAATTGTGAGTGGGAGACTCTGACGATTAGCCTAATTGCTTAAACAATCTTATTTCGTTTCACTAAAGTTTAATAAAGTGGCGCAGAATTTCTTTCAGTCATTACGGCGCCGTGAACTCGACGAAGGTTCCATCCGCAAAATTCGCCGTAATCGTAACACGTGCGGAATACACGCATGTGTTTATAAATATAAAGGAAAGAAAGAGGGCACAAAAGGACTGCGGTATTCTGCGCAGAGAAGCGAGGTCTCTAATGATATATTATTACTGCTCTTGCCTTTCGAGACGCGTCCTTCTAATAGATGACAATGCGAGAGAGGCATTGGACGGAGGGGATTCGATGACAGACCAAAGAGTAAGGGCGAACGATTCGTGAGATGTAATCTTTGGATATTTTCCTACGTGATTAGGCGTTCGTTGCAAGCGTTCTGTAAGCCTGTGCTCACGCAATCGGCGATTCGACCCGCTCTGACGAAAACAATTATAAATAGAAGAAAAATGAAGAGACGCATTGGACGTTTGTACAATTTTATTTTTCGAGTTGATAACCGATAACACCCTTCCACTGAAGCGCATAATATAATATCGCTAACTTTTTTTCAAATCGAGCGATATACCTGCGATATTCCCATAACTTCAGCCTCGTTGTGTGTTTGTGCAATATATTAAACTGTATACCAGTAGATATCCACTGGTTTCGATGGAGTATACAGTTTAATTAACTCTTATTTTATTTACATAATATGTATTTACTTATCGGCGCAACGTTATATTTGTATAATGTGTTACCGCAGTTATTGTATTTGGTCATCGGGACATTGCGTGAGCGCGGGATTGTGTATATTTATTAAAGCGGAGCAGCGAATACACTCCGGTACATGGGTATACTTGTCGTAAGAATGATAAAGTTTAAAGGCTATCAGTATAAGTGTAGGATTAAAATTAGCGTTTCGAACGGGAAGCTTGCGATTGTAAGACGATTTCATGTTCGTCGTAATAGGAAATTTTTACGGGGTTTAATAATTAACGGGCAGATTTTCTTCGCTAAGAAAAAATAATAATAATAAATAAAGGAAATGAAAAAAGAAGGAAATGTAGCAACAGGCTGTGGCGCGAATCTTACAATTGCAAAGCGAACGAAGACGACGCATTGTGTAAATCGCTCGTTTTGATTATGCAACGGCCGCCCCGCTCGCCGTTTATAATCAATGGTTTAAATTATTAAGAATTCTGTGTATAAGGAGAGGAGGATTCTGTATAAGGACGGGAGAGATCCGCTAATTTCATATGGTGAGGATTGGCAACAATCGTGTAAATACATATACACACGTCGCAAAAACTGTTGCGTTAATGTCGCGTGTGCATTCGCTTTCCTTTCATTACGTAACCGATCCCTTCCTGCGAACGCGGAAAGAGACATAAAAGAGATAAATCCGAATTCCATCGCCGAAAAAAGAGGAATGAGAAAAAAGAGAATTCAGATTCTCGGAGGTAACGATTCAATTTTGAAAACAACCGGTATCGGGCGCTCTAACCGAAACATTAGTTTTGCTTTCCATTTACATCAAAACTCACATAATTCTCTTGTGATGTCATTCTGTTTTTATTATTCATTAATTGCTAAAAAGTGTCACAAGTGAGAATTATCTGAGTTTTAATGTAAATGGAAAGCACCTATTATCTCATTTTGTTATTTGAAAAATTATTATTGTATCTTTAATCACGCGTGACAATGTATTTGACTTAAAAGAGGGAGAACTGCGAACGTTGCATTTTATAGTTTTAACAATCACACCTCAGACAGCACCGTGTCCAAAATCGGGACATAAGACGTCTTAAAGACATGTTTAAGACATCTTTAAGACGTCTTATGATACGATGTCTAAAAGATGTCCCGATTGGGGACATACGTGCTGCCTGAAACCCTACTGTACAAAATTGTGTCTCGATGTATACATATTATAAGAAAAGGAAAAATTTATACACACGTATAATTTTGTTAACGTTAAAATCCGATATGGAGAAAAGTCCGATTTCCTTTAATAAAATCGCTTAAAAAACGAGTATTTATTATCTTCTCCAAAATATTTCATCCAGAACGCGCAAAAGCACGAAAAGAGCCAGAGAGAGAGAGAGAGAGAGAGAGAGAAAGAAAGAGAGGGAAAACGAATACTTTCGAGAAGGGAAGATTAAAAACGTGGTGCGCGTGCGCGGTGCGTGACGCATGCACGCGCAGTGAGCCGCCGCGCCGGTCACGTGACCGCCTTTGTGCCCGGCGCTGCGGGTCGCGGTTGCGCGGGGCCTGGCGCGGTCTGGCGACTTCAGTGTGTGCTTCTGGTGCTCTTCGCTTTTCAGTGGCCAGCAAGCTTCGACTGCGGGCAGACGTGTGCATCGTCGGCGGAGCGCGGCTCGATCTCCCGTCGCGGCTACGCGAGAGACTCTCCTTTTTTTTCCCCTCCCCCTCTCGCTGTCTCGCTGTGCGCGCGTGTGTCTCTCGCTCTCTCTCTCCCCTTCCCCCTCTCTCTTTTGTCCATCTGTCGCCTATCTGTCCACCCCCTTCAACTTTGCGGCGTGTGTCGTCGTCGCGCGTGTCGTCGACTCGGTCGAGAAAACGTTTTCGTTCCCCGTGTGTCGCGTGTGGCTCCCGGGTGGTACTTTTGGTGTGCTGCTTCCGTCCCGCGTGTGCTCCGAAGAGGCGAGAGAGAGAGAGAGAGAGAGAGGAGAGAGGTTATTCCGCTCCGAGAGGAGACGATCAACCACGCAGTGGCAAAGCGGTAGTGGTGGCGACGACGACGGCGGCGGCGGCGGCGGCGGCTCTCGCGGGGGGAGGGCCCGTGCGTGCGTGCGTACGTGCGTGCATACGTGCGTGCGTGCGTGCGTGCGTACGTGCGTACGTACGCGCACCGAGGGAACATCGAACACGTCGTGTCGTCGTCGCGCGGCACCTCGCGTCCCCAATCTTCCACCTCCGTCGCGGGTCTCCCAGGAACAAGCGTCGCCTTCCGCTCCTCTCGTGCCACGTTTTCCTTCCCGCCGTGGTCCTGCGGCACCCAGGAGGCAATCCCGACGACAACTTCGTCACGAGGCTCGTCGCCGAATGCGATTGACGGACACGGCGCGGAGGTGAGAGCGGAGCGGACCGTGATTCGGAGCAGTACGCACAAGAGAGTGCGGCGGTGTGTGCGCGCGCGTGTGCGGGTGTGTGTGCGTGAATGGATGCGTGCGTCAAACATAACCTAACCTGAGCGTCGCCAAGCGCGCTAAGTGCCGTTCGCTGTCACGCTCGCGATATCGTACCGTACGTGACGGGAGGCGTATATATTATACATATAATATATATGTACGTGTGTGGTATATATATGCAGATGTATATGTGTATCATCGGAATCGCGGAGACAGGTTCTTCAAGATCAGGGATCGCGCAGGAACGGCGATAATAATAACGGTGCCCTTAGTGTCGTCGGCGGTGGGGAGCAGGAGGTGGAGGACAACACGTCGTCGCTTATCACGGCGCGATAAAGGACGCCGTCGTTCGCGCGCGTATCGCGTTCACCCTCCCCCCTCGTGGCCCGAGGAATAAGACAGCTGCGCCGAGATACGGCGAAGGGGGTCCGTTCCATCAGCGCGGCGAGAGAAGAAGATTGTAACTATGCCCGTCGCGTGAGACCGATCCACCGATCGATTCGCCCGCCGATCGTTCGCGGCACCACAAACGACAACAACGGTGGCTCGCTTCATCGTCGTCGTCGTCGTCGAGGAGGAGGGGCCGAGGGGGCACGGCGGCCCGTGCAGTCCGGGCGGACGGGCCAGCAAGTGCTTTGATGGCAGTGGTTGGGCCCAGCCGGCACTCGCGGGTGTCCATGAGCGTGTCCATACCGCTGATGCAGGGCGGCGGGGCGGGGGCGACCGGCGCCGGCGGCGGGGGTGCCGGTGCCGCCGCTGTCGCCGCCGCCGCTGCCGCC